TCAGAAAGGTTCATATTTTTCTAATGACTTCATTCTATATTATTTTGTTAGGTTGCATAAAGAAGCAAGGAATTGCACTTGTATTAAAAGATGAAGAAAGCTATTAGGTATATTTGTACATGACTGCAAATGAGTCTATGCCTGTTTAAAAGAAAAGATGGACACTATTTTAAAGTGAGCTTTAATATGCTTTTATATAAACAAATTTGAGGTACAGTTTAGTTTGGTTGTGTTTACCTAACAAGTACTATCAGCCGTGTATTTGTTCTTATTTGTATAATCCTAGCCTGTGACTTAATGTTGACGCTTTGCTTTGTCTTTTGGCTGGCCTAACCTACATTGACATGTACGCAGAACATTTTACAACTTTTTTTTTTCAAAAGTCATAATGAATTACTTTATTAATAAACAAATAAAGTCTTGTATTTGAAGTGTTTTCTTTGTTATAAAGTGGTATTTACCAAATGAGAGAATAACCATTATTTTTATCAACTTGAAAATCTGGTAAAATAGTGCTTAGAGAAAGAGATTGGCTAATAGTTTAGGGAAACTTCAGATAGGTATTATTTTAGTGCAACAAAATTATAGTTTACTTGTTTATTCAAAACCTAAAGAGTTTAGTGGCTTTTTACTGAACATAATTTAATTTCAGAAGTCATTTAGGACCTTGAGGACCTTCAGATCACTGTAACTTGTTGAATTGTGATTGTTAAAATGCTGAATAATTAATAGATTTCATTATGTAGAATTCTTTTACGGCATCTGTGTTCCAGTGCCCTTCCAAAGAGGCCAAGTTTGTTACTGAAGCCAATTAAAGATTTCATGTAGCTATATTTATAAAAATTGAAGTATCTCCATGAGAAAGGAAAGATCTTGAAGACAGGTAAATACATCAAATTGCAGGCTGGGTGCAGTGGCTCACGCCTGTAATTCCAACACTTTGGGAGGCCGAGGTGGGTGGATCACTTGACGTTAGGAGTTTGAGACCAGCCTGGCCAATATGGTGAAACCCTGTCTCTACTAAAAATATAAAAATTAGCCAGGTGTGGTGGTGGGTGCCTGTAATCCCAGCTACTCGGGAGGCTGAGGCAGAAAAATCACTTGAACCCAGGAGGCAGAGGTTGCAGTGACCTGAGATCACGCCACTGCCCTCTGGCCTGGGTGACAGCAAGCCTCTGTCTCCAAAAAAAAAAAAAAAAAAAAAAGTCGAATTGCCGAAATCTGCAATCTGCATATAATGTGATCCCACTTACGGGTTTTACAGTGTCCATGCTGTGTACCTGTGTGTTCAAACTCAGCCTATTAATCGAGTGTTAATTACACTATTGTAATGTTCTCATATCCACCTCCTGTTCCTTTTGCAGTGAGCTCCAGTGTTGCGGGTATCCACTTAAAACACCAGGCGATGCGCATCATCTCCACAGGAGGAGTTCGTCTTGCCGGTAAATCATGTTTCACAGTGAAAGTGATCTCATGGTACTCATGTAGTTTTCTTTTTAAAATTATTTATATGAGGCATAGTAGGTACATATTTATAAAATACCTGAGATATTTTGATAGAGGCATACAATCAATGCATAATAATTACATCAGGGTAAATGTATTCCTCACCTCAAACATCATTTCTTCAAGTTACAAAGCTTACGATTATACTGTTTTATGTTTAAATGTGCACTAAATTAATGTTGACTGTAGTCACCCTGTTGTGCTATCAAGTAGTAGATCTTATTCATTTTATCTAACTATATATTTTTTTTACCCATTAACCATCTTCATCTACCCCCAACCCCCACTACCCTTCCCAACCTCTGGTAACCTTCATTCAATTCTCTGTGTTCATGAGTTTCATTGTTTTAATTTTTCGCTCCCACAAATGAGTGAGAAGTCTTTCTGTGCCTGGCTTATTTCCCTTGACATAATGACCTCTAGTTCCTTCATTGTTGTTGCAAATGCAGTATCTCATTCTTTTCTATGGTTGAATAGTGCTCCATTGTGTGTATGTATGTGCGTGTGTGTGTATTGTGTGTGTGTGTGTATATATATATAATCTTCTTTATCTATTTGCCTGTTGATGGTCACATAGCTGGCTTCCAAATCTTGGCTATTGTGAATAGTGCTGCAGTAAACTTGGAAGTACCAATTATCTCTTGCACATACTGATTTCCATTCTTTTGGATAAATACCCAAATGCTCTCTTTAACATCTTTCCACACTGGATCCATCATATAATTGTGCATAATAGCAACTGGAACTGACAGATATATAGAAATAATGCTGCTTTTCTCAAACTGCTGAGCCACCTCTTCACAATACTTGGCTATAGCATCTGCCTCTCCTGATGGGAGCAAAGACTGTTAAAGGCGGATTGCTGGATCGTACGGCAGTTTTTTTAGGTTTTTTGAGGAAGCTCCACACTGTTCTCCATAGCGGTTTTACTAATCTACATTCCCAACAACAGTGTATGAGGGTTCCCTCTTCTCTGTATCCTTGCCAGCGTTTGTTGTTGCTTGTCTTTTGTATCAAAGCCCTTTCTAGTGGGGTGAGATGTTATCTCATTGTAGTTTTGATTTGCATTTCCTTGGTGATCAATGATGTTGAGCACCTTTCTATATACCTATTTGCCATTTGTATGCCACTGTGTGCCTGTTTGCCATTTCTTCTTTTGAGAAATGTCTATTGAGATATTTTGCCCATTTTAAAATCAGATTATTAGATTTTTTTTCCTATTGAGTGGTTTGATCTCCTTATATATTCTGGTTATTAATCTGTCAGATGGATAGTTTCCAAATATTTTCTCCCATTCTGTGGGTTATCTCCTGACTTTGCTGGTTGTCTCCTTTGCTGTGTAGAAGCTTTTGAGTTTGACATGATCCTATTTGTCTATTTTTGCTCTGGTTGCTTGTGCTTCAGGGGTATTACTCAAGAAATCTTTGCTCAGACCAATGTTCTGAAGTTTCCCAAATGTTCTCTTTCGGTAGATTCATAGTTTGACATCTTAGATTTAGGTCTGTAATGCATTTGATTTTTGTGTGTGATGAGAGACAGGGCTCTAGTTTCATCTTCTAAACATGGATATCCAGTTTTCACAGCCCCATTAATTGAAAACACTGTCTTGTCACCAATGTATGTTCTTGGTATTTTTGTTGAAGTGAGTTCCCTGTAGATGTATGAATTTATTTCTGGCCTCTCTATTCTGTTGTACTGGTCCATGTGTCTTTTTTTATGCCAGTTACCATGCTGCTTTGGTTACTCATAGCTCTGTAGTATAATTTTAAGTCAGGTTATGTAATTCCTTCAGTTCTGTTCTGCTCAGAATGACTTTGGCTGTTCTGGGTGTTTTCTGATTCCATCAGAAAATTTTAGGATTATTATTTCTATTTCTGTGAAGATATCATTGGTATGTTCATAGGGACTTCATTGACTGTGGATTGCTTTGGGTAGGATGGACATTTTAACAATATGGATTCTTGCAATCCATGAAAATGGAATATCTTCAATTTTGTCTCCTATTCCATTTCTTGAATCAATGTTTTATAGTTCTCACTGTAGAGATCTTTCACTTCTTAGGTGAAGTGTATTACTACATATCTTATTTTGTTTGAGCTATTGTAAATGACAATAGTTTGTGATTTCTTTTTCAGATTGTTCAATGTTGGTATATACAAAGGTTACTGATTTTGTATGTTTATTTTTTTATCCTGCAACTTTACTGAATTTGTTTATCAGTTCTTAGGGGGAGTGTTTAGGTTTTCCAAATATAAAATTATATCATCTTCAAACACGGGTAATTTTACTTTTTCCTTTCCAAATAGATCCCCTTTGTTTCTTTCTCTTGTCTGAATGCTCTAGCTAGGACTTCTTGTATTTTTCATCATGTTTAGTTTAATAGTGTAAATCATAGAACCCAAAGAAAGTACCACTAGCGATCCATAAAGTGCTTCCAAGAAGGAGAGAAATAACATTATAAGAAAAAGCTGATTTGCTTGATATGTACCACAGTTTGAGATCTGTATCTTTGCCTGCATTTTCAGACAGATGATTCATCTCAGAAACACATGAAGTAAACTTACAGTATTGATAAATTCAGTGCAGTACTGTAAATATACTTTATATCTTCCTTATAATTTTCTTAACATTTCCTTTTCTCTAGCTTACTTTTGTAAGGGTAATAGTAAGCAGTCTATCATGAAAAGTATTTGATTTTTAATCTAAGTAAAATGTATGTATTATGAAAGTATTTGTGACTGGGGTATAACGAACTAATAAAATCTATTACACATAGGAAATATTGAGGAGAAGAGCTTTTGGAAGAAAAGAAAATAATAACATTAGTAGTTTCTTAGTTCAAGTCATGTAAAACTGTACATTTTACATAGCATTAATGAAAGATAATATAAGATTCCTCCAATATGAAGGCTCCCTTTATCTGATACTGAGTTATTCTACAAGGCCTGTCTGATGATGCTATTGTCATCTACTAATTTTATAAAGCCTATCTATGAGGTTTTTGTCACAGAAACGGTATGGAAAACTGTCTCTCAAACTATTCCTAAACCTGTTAGGAAAATATGTCTTTATACCTAAAATCTGTGAAGGTATTGGATATCATATCATTATCACCACAAAGTATCTACTATTTCAGTATAGCAATATTAATTGTATTTTTATCAGATTAATCCAAACCACATAACACATATATGTTCTCTATTATCTAAACTTAAAATAAGGAATTTTATTTATGGAGTTTTTTTTAATTTAAGCAATTCTCAAGTTTGATCTAGCCTCTGAAATTTTTATATGAAAGACTTAATAAATGATGTATCATTCTCAAAATAATGTCTCTTGTTTAACTTAAACATTATAAATAATATTTTACATATTACAGATGCAGCAGGAGTTGCAAGACAGTACAACTACAGAGATACAAAAAGGTATGTTACCAATGTTTATTAATTAAATTCATTGATTTCTGAAATAAACTATAAATAGTAAATGGCATCCCTTTCTATTGTTTGGTTTATAGATAATATGTTAAATATTTTTTCATACATACCACTAATGAAAGATGTGAAAGCATTAACATTTATAATGAAAAGTATACTTAACCCGTCGTTAATTCATCATGTTCCATAGCTTCAGAGAAATCTCAAGAAGTCTGTGTATTTTTTTTCCTCTGGCTCTACATTTTCTTCACTACAACTCGGCTCTCAGGAAGCCACATCCCTAGGAAAAAAGGGAGAGTACTACATCACAGGAATAGCCTGTGGGACAAAAGAATCTGAACAGCAGCCTTGAGCCCTAGATCTTCCCTCTGACATAGCCTACCCAAATGAGAAGGAAACAGATAAACAATTCTGGTAATATGACAAAACGAAGTTCTTTAACACCTCCAAAAAATCACAGTAGTTCAACAGCAATGGATCCAAACCAAGAAGAAATCCCTGATTTACCTGAAAAAGAATTCAGAAGTTCAGTTATTAAGCTAATTAAGGAGGCACCAGAAAAAGGTGAAGTCCAATATAAGGATATCCAAAAAATGATACAAGAAACGAGGGGAGATACCTTCAGTGAAATAGATAGCATAAATAAAAAAACAATCACAGCTTCAGGAAATAAAGGATGTACTTCGAGAAACGAAAAATGTTCTGAAAACTCTCAGCAATAGAATCAAGCAGAAGAAAGAATTTCAGAACTCGAAGACAAAGTTATTGAATTAAACCAATCCAACAAAGACAATGAAAAAAGAATAAGAAAAAATGATCAAAGCCTCCAAGAAGTTTGGGATTATGTTAAGTAACCAAACCTAAGAATGATTGGCATTCCTGAGGAAGAACAGAAATCTACAAGTTTGGAAAACATATTTTGGGAAATAATCAAGGAATTCCCAGCCTTGCTAGAGGCCTACACATTCAAATAAAATAAGCTAAAAGGACATCTGGGAAATTCATCACAAAAAGATCATCACCTAGGCACATTGTCATCAGGTTATCTAAAGTCAAGATGAAGGAAATAATCCTAAGAGCTGTGAGGCAAAAGCGCCAGGTAACCTATAAAGAAAAATATGTCAGATTAACAGATTTCTCAGCAGAAACCCTACAAGCTAGAAGTCATTGGGGCCCTACCTTCACCTTCCTTAAACAAAACAATTACCAGCCAAAAATTTTGTATAAGGTGGACCAGATGGCTATTACCTTGCCATGTCTAAGTTGGATCAGATGGCTCTTGCTTTGTAGCTTCATAAATGAAGGAAAGATATAGTCTTTTTCAGACAAACAAATGCTGAGAAAATTTGCCACTACCAAGCCAGCACTACAAGAACTGCAAAAGGAGCTCTAAATCTTGAAACAAATCCTGAAAACACATAAAAACAGAAACTCTTTAAAGCATAAATCTCCCAGGACAACCATAGACATGGCAAGGCAATAGCCCATTGTCTGAGTTCAACCAGATGGCTCTCGCCTTGCCATGTCTAAGGTCGACCAGCTGGCTTCTGTGTGCCTATGTCTAAGGTCAATCAGATGGCTCTTGCCTTGTTCTGTGTAAGGTCAACTAGACGGCTCTCACTTTTCCACGTCTCACAGGACCTATAAAAATATAACACAATGAAAAAAAAAAAGCATGGTATACAGGCAACAAATAGCATGATGAATGGAATAGTACCTCACATCTCAATTTTAACGCTGAAAGTTAATGGTCTAAATGCTCTGCTTAAAATATACAGAATTGTAGAATGGATAAGAATTCACCAACCATCTGCCTGCTGCCTTCAAGAAACTCACCTAACACGTAAGGACTCATATAACTTAACATAAAGGGGTGGAAAAAAACATTCCATGCAAATGGACACCAAAAGTAACCAGGAGTATCTATTCTTACATCAGACAGAAAAAACTTGAAAGCAACAGCAGTTAAAAAAGATGAAGAGGCGGCACGCCCAAGATGGCAGAATAGGAACAGCTCCAGCCTCCAGCTCCCAGCGTGAGTGACACAGAAGATGGGTGATTTCTGCATTTTCAACTGAGGTACCGGGTTCATCTCACTGGGGCATGTTGTGTTGGACAGTTGGTGCTGGTCCGCGGGTGCAGCCCGACCAGCAAGAGATGAAGCAGGGCAAGGCATCGCCTCACCTGGGAAGCGTAAGGGGGAAGGGGATTCCTTTTCCTAGCCAGGGGAACTGAGACACACACACCTGGAAAATCGGGTAACTCCCACCCTAATACTGCGCTTTACCAAGGGTCTTAGCAAACAGCACACTAGGAGATTATATCCCACACCTGGCCCAGAGGGTCCCACACCCACGGAGCCTCCCTCATTGCTAGCACAGGAGTCTGAGATCTAACTGCAAGGCAGCAGCAAGGCTGAGGGCGGGGTGCCCACCATTGCTGAGGCTTAAGTAGGTAAACAAAGCCGCTGGGAAGCTCGAATTGGGTGGAGCCCACCACAGCTCAAGGCGGCCAGCTTGCCTCTATAGACTCCTCCTCTGGGGACAGGGCATAGCTGAACAAAAAGCAGCAGAAACCTCCTTGGCAGACTTAAATGCCCCTGTCTGATAGCTTTGAAGAGAGCAGTGGACCTCCCAGCATGGATTGAGATCTGAGAACGGACAGACTGCCTGCTCAAGTGGGTCGCTGACCCCTGAGTAGCCTAACTGGGAGACATCCCCCACTAGGTGCAGACCGACACCTCAAACCTCACACGACGGGGTACACCCCTGAGACGAAGCTTCCAGAGCAAGAATCAGACAGCAACATTCACTGTTCAGCAATATTCTATCTTCTGCAGCCTCTGCTGCTGATACCCAGGCAAACAGGGTCTGGAGTGGACCTCAAGCAAACTCCAACAGACCTACAGCTGAAGGTCCTGACTGTTAGAAGGAAAACCAACAAACAGAAAGGACACCCACACCAAAACCCCATCAGTATGTCACCATCCTCAAAGACCAAAGGCAGATAAAACCACAAAGATGGGGAAAAAGCAGTGCAGAAAAGCTGGAAATTCAAACAATCAGGGCACATCTCCCCCTCCAAAGGAACGCAGCTCATCTCCAGCAACGGAACAAAGCTGGACGGAGAATGACTTTGACGAGTTGAGAGAAGAAGGCTTCAGTCGATCAAACTTCTCAGAGCTAAAGGAGGAACTACGTAACCAGCGCAAAGAAACTAAAAACCTTGAAAAAAGAATGGATGAATGGATAACTAGAATAATTAATGCAGAGAAGACCTTTAAAGAACTGATAGAGATGAAAACCATGACACGAGAAATACGTGACAAATGCACAAGCTTCAGTAACCGACTCGATCAACTGCAAGAAAGAGTGTAAGTGATTGAAGATCAAATGAATGAAATGAAGTGAGAAGAGAAGTGTAGAGAAAAAAGAGTAAAAAGAAATTAACAAAGCCTCCAAGAAATATAGGATTATGTGAAAAGACCAAATCTACGTCTGACTGATGTGCCTGAAAGTGAGGAGGAAAATGGAACCAAGTTGGAAAACACTCTTCAGGATATCATCCAGGAGAACTTCCCCAACCTAGCAAGGCAGGCCAACATCCAAATTCAGGAAACACAGAGAATGCCACAAAGATACTCCTCGAGAAGAGCAACTCCAAGACACATAATTGTCAGATTCACCAAAGTTGAAATGAAGGAAAAAATATTAAGAGCAGCCAGAAAGAAAGGTTGGGTTACACACAAAGGGAAATGCATCAGACTAACAGCAGATCTCTCGGCAGAAACTCTCCAAGCCAGAAGAGAGTGGGGGCCAACATTCAACATTCTTAAAGAAAGGAATTTTACACCTAGAATTTCATATCCAGCCAAACTAAGTTTCATAAGTGAAGGAGAAATAAAATCCTTTACAGACAAGGAAATGCTTAGAGATTTTGTCACCACCAGGCCTGCCCTACAAACAACAGGTACTAGCCATTGCAAAAACATGTCAAAATGTAAAGTCCATCAATGCTAGGAAGAAACTGCAAGCAAAATAACCAGCTAATATCATAATGACAGGATCAAGTTCACACATAACAATATTAACCTTAAATATAAATGGACTAAATGGTCCAATTAAAAGACATAGACTGGCAAACTGGATAAAGAGTCAAGACCCATCAGTTTGCTATATTCAGGAGACCCATCTCACATGCAGAGATACACATAGACTCAAAATAAAGGGATGGAGGAAGATCTACTAAGCAAATGGAAAACAAAAAAAAGCAGGAGTTGCAATCCTAGTCTCTGATAAAACAGACTTTAAACCAACAAAGATCAAAAGAGACAAAGAAGGCCATTACATAATGGTAAAGGGATCAATTCATCAGGAAGAGCTAACTATCCTAAATATATATGCACCCAATACAGGAGCACCCAGATTCATAAAGCAAGTCCTTAGATACTTACAAAGAGACTTAGACTCCCATACAATAATAATGGGAGACTTTAAAACCCCACTGTCAACATTAGACAGATCAACGAGACAGAAAGTTAACAAGGATATCCAGGAATTGAACTCAACTCTGCACCAAGCGGACCTAATAGACATCTACAGAACTCTCCACCCCAAATCAACAGAATACACATTCTTCTCAGCACCACATCACACTTATTCCAAAATTGACCACATAGTTGGAAGTAAAGCACTCCTCAGCAAATGTAAAAGAACAGAAATTATAACAGTCTCTCAGACCACAGTGCAATTAAACTAGAACTCAGGACTAAGAATCAAAACCACTCAACTACATGGAAACTGAACAACCTGCTCCTGAATGACTACTGGGGACATAACGAAATGAAGGCAGAAATAAAGATGTTCTTTGAAACCAATGAGAACAAAGATACAACATACCAGAATCTCTGGGACACATTTAAAGCAGTGTGTAGAGGGAAATTTATAGCACTCAGTGCCCACAAGACAAAGCAGGAAAGATCTAAAATTGACACCCTACCATCACAATTAAAAGAACCAGAGAAGCAAGAGCAAACACATTCAAAAGCTAGCAGAAGGCAAGAAATAACTAAGGTCAGAGCAGAACTGAAGGAGATAGAGACACAAAAAACCCTCCAAAAAAATCAATGAATCCAGGAGCTGTTTTTTTGAAAAGCTCAACAAAATTGATAGACCGCCAGCGAGACTAATAAAGAAGAAAAGAGAGAAGAATCAAATAGATGCAATAAAAAATGATAAAGGGGATATCACCACCGACCCCACAGAAATACAAACTACCATC